GGACAGAATCTGCAAGACAAGAAGTTCAGTGGCATTGTGACTGATTACTTTTACAGGTATGCAAAAAAAAAAAACTACTTAAAATCGTATGAAATTCGGAACACACACACACACACACGCTCACGCACCACACACGCACACGCATGAAAAAAAAATGGTTCTAATCTTTTTCTTTCTTTTTTTACGGACGAACCACGCATGGATATTTATCGTACATAAATTTCGGTAATTGACGCGCAATAAAAAGCTCCGCCTTTTTCTAAAAATAGCAAAAAAACTATACTTTCGCAAGTTCCAAATTTCGCGCGGTTATCGGTCGGTCTTTGGCACGCGTATTCCGTTCTTAACGATCGCAAAGGAACCGTCTCGTCCTGCGCCAAGTGACAACCACCGCAGCAACTGCGTTTCTCCACGTCGAAGGTCTGTAGAGGGTGTGGGGAGACCTTCGGCGACGTCGTACAGGCACTAGGCGACGACGCCTCGTGCGTTGTGTCATCCGCGCGGAGACAGGTACACACCGGGGGCGTGTGGGGCTCTCTGCGGTATTGGGCAAGATTCCACGAGAATTATTGATGGACCCCGACTCGCGAACGTCGTCCCCCCCTGGCGATAAATAATCACTCGCTTCCACGACCATTGCCATGCAGTTTTATTGGCCGTTCCCCGCAGCATGACTTGGAGCTGCTCGTTCATCATACAAAGAGGTGTACGGCGTTCGCTGCAGAGACATGACGACCGAAGCGTGTGCGAACACGACTCAAGCCATATATCCTCCTCTATACTCACAAAGCCCGGCAGTTCGACGACTGAGTCATAGAATGCCCGGTCGCAGACTTGGAGCGCGAGGATCTGGTAGCGCAGAGCATCAAAGAGCCTTTTCTCGGGGAACCTGGACGTCAGCGCACAGCTTTTGCAGCGGTGAGAACCCGACACACACTTGTTTGCTCGGAAGAAGTGTCTTTCGGCGTCTCGCCGCAGCGGGGCGCCAGTGACGTGACTCTTCTCTCATCCGTTGTCTGCGGCTCAACTTTTTTCCATTTCGGCGGTCGCTTTTCGAGGCGATCTGCCAGGCTTTGTCAGTATATAGGAGGCTGTGCTCAAGCATGATAGAAGGTGTTTGCTTCATATACATATGCATGCTTCGAACATGCTTCGAACAAAGAAACGCGCCTCAAACATTGCCTGCAGACTGACAACATTGAGACGACGCTGTACGTGTGTGCCTCCGTTAGCTTACAATACGATGTATATTTTGCGTCTTTGAATTCGACCGACACGCGGGTTGGTAGAGTCCTCTGTATATATGTATATTTTAAATAGTTCGCCACTTCGATTCTGCCGACAAAACAGCGAAGGCAGGCCGCGGCTACACGCCTCGCCGTTTTGTCGTCATCTTTAGGTATACCAATAACCTTCTCATGTTTGATAGGTGGCAGGAGCAACCAGTAATGGACATATTTGTATAAGCTAGTCAGGCTTTCGTGCCTTACACTCTAAGGGAGAGCACCCGTAATGTGACCTTCTTTTTATTAATTTTGTTTGCTCACTCCCTCCCTCTCTTGGCACCTGCGCTTTGGGCTCACGCTCTCGCTTCCATCGAAAGAAAGACAGGATAATGGACGCGGTAGAGTTAATTTACGAAAGAAACCGTACCGTGTAAGGCGCAACAATATATGTCTCTTTTGAGCTAAATTCGAGAAAGGCGGAGTTAGTGTTCGCAGTTCTTATTTGTTAGTTTTATTTTAACCATCATATTGAACGCGATATATTGACATTTATTTCGCTACAGCATGCAGTGCATCGGCTTTCGACACACCTGGAATTTCATAGATCCGCCATATTGTACAGTTCCTCCCGTGCCTACGCAAACGTTCCGGCGCACGTAAAAAAAAAAAAAAAAAAAAAAACACGTTAAGGGACTGCGCATGCGCAGGGCCGACAGCAGCACCACCGCAGTCGCGTGACGTCAGGGCTTAAGACGAGCAGCGTGTGGCTTATTATTCACGCTTCTTGCTTCGTGATTGGCCCCTCGGCGTTCTCGTCGCCTAATGCCGCAATTTGATTGGTTGAGCAGCGATAATGAGATGCACGGGTCTCGCCACGCCGTGCGTTTCGTCAGCAATCGGTGACTCTAAAAAGTTGATAATTACCAGTCAAATAACTGAAACAAAACAAAAAAAAAATTAAAAACAAATTGTAATTGTTTAATAATGGCTGCGGCCATGCACGGCTGCCTAAATGCGTCCTGCAAGCGGTGAATCTTTGCATGCATGGTTTCTTGTGCCTTTCTGAATGTCTCTTTGAACAACTTTTGTTTTTCGTCGATCGGCGGCTATAATATTCGGAGTATATTTATCGGCGTTTCTGGTAAATATACGCTCACAGCCGTAAACGCTATTTATGTTACATGTAGTTTGTCGTTTTCGACGCGGGTCTCTCTCGCAGCGCAGAAAAAAACAAAAACAATTTCGACCGTGTCGTCAACGAAACTTCATTCCAGCTTCATTTCGAGGAAGCTGCAAGGTGTTGCCATCTCTCCAACGGATGCACGGAGCTGTCTGTACATATTTTCCTGGTGTACTTTCCTGTACAAGAAAAAAATGTCCGAGTAGTTTGCGTAGGGTGCCTTCATGTGCGCTTTGCTTAGGGTGGAGACATCTGGCCATTTTGTCTCACACTTTTATTTTTATTTTTTGTTCAGAAGCGTGTGAAAGAACGTGTCCCTGCACGCGCTCGTGGCGCTGACTGTGCTACGGCGACATTTTGTTTTCGTCGATTTCTTTGTATTTTCCCCGTGAGCGCGTGCTGTCGGCATCGGGTACTACAAAGGGTGGCATCACCCTAAACAGAAGGACATTGAAGCACCCTAAGTTTGCGAAGAACCGAATTTCGTGACACTTTCCCTTGTACTTTACTCGCTCTTGTTAGAGGCGGCAAAGAAACAGTAAACTTAAGATATCTGTCAGTACAGTCCAGAAGCATGGCATCATGCCTGTGTGAAATTCGCGTTTCTGCTCTGTCACATGAAAATAATAAATCGATATTTTTAAAACAATAAGCAAAAGGCAAATAGTGAGTAACCATTGTTAGGAAACTGATCATATTTAAATATGAGTAGGATGCGCTCGGTCGCTAGTGCCTGAGCGCGATTGATTCTATATATACAACTGGCGATTCTCACAAGTTTAAACCAAAAACGCAGAAAAAAAAAAAAAAAGAAAAAAAGAAGCCTCCTCGAGGATGTTTGCAGCGTATCTCGTGTGAAGTCAAGCGTGAATGGCTGCCTTGTCTCCCAGCCGCAAACATGACGGAATTTCGTCGGAGCCTGTCGGTGCCATTGTCAAGGTCAGGGGAGGAGGTCGACGACGAATGAAAGGCTTTCGTCGGAGTGTGAAAACCAAAACAGCAGCGCTCGCTTTCTGACGGGAAATACTCTTCGTATTTAATTGATACCACAGTAATTGGGATGGTTGTACAACTTTCAGACATCAACGGGAGTTTGAGTAGATAGTTCCAATGGCTTCAGTAATGGTACCCGATAGCTCTGCCGACGCCTTTGCGCAAGCATCGTACGCTATCGGCAGTGGCGTACCAACTTGTTCTTGAGTGTGTGTGTGCGTGTGTGTGTGTGGGGGGGGGGGGGGGGGGCAAACCAGACCGTCCCCTTTCCCCCCACAGGGCTGGGGGGCAGTGCCCTTGGCATCCCTTGGACGCCGCCGGACAATGTTGGCCCTGCCCAGTGGCGGCTGATTCAGGGGGCGGCAAAACACATACCTTGCCCCCCCCCCCCCCCCTCTGAAAACTGGGGGGAAGGTGGGGGGGCAAGCGCCCCTTCCCTTGCTTCCCCCCCTTCCCGGTTGGTATGCCCATGGCTATCGGGCATCGTTGTCGGAGGTATCGGTACGATATTCTAAAAGTATCTAGTGTTAGGAGGAAGTTGTATATATAGAACAGAACAGGAGAGGCGTAGCTTCACTGGTAGCAAAAACATTTCAAAACACAGTAGTTCCGGAAACTCCGATAACCACACACCCGATCTTCCCTCACGCCTTTGCTCATGCGTTGTAGTGTTATCCGGCAAATGTATCGGAGCGTAAAAACGATGTTTCGCTCTTAAGTATAAAGTGGTTACATGTAAGAAAAGATGATGCATCCCAAAGCTGCGGGCCCTATAAATTGCCCACACAAGCCGTCGACTCCAAGCACACGAGCCCATATGAGCTTCGGTTGTTTTCGGGGGCATTGGCAGATAATTTCTTCACCTCGATAACGGTACCCGTTACACCGACGGCGCCCTTGCGCGTGCAACTGATCGTTATCGGAGCCCAAAGACATGCTACTAGCACTCTCTTCTATCATGAATTAGAGAACCCAAACTTTGCGCCTATCCCTTCCACTGCTTCGTGCGGCGTTCCCGTCGATGCCCTATGGGAAATAAAGTCTAACGGGAAACAAAATAACAGAAGGACGCATTTACACGGAAACGCGTACGATATTGCGCAAGTCGACGGAAAAAGCTGCGATACGAACGTTCCTCGAAGGGGAGCGAACGGGTATACAATTTTTATGCCATCAGAGCTTGCCAGGCGGAGCGAGCCAGCGAGCACGTGTCACCGTCTCGAGCCTTTGGGCTACTCTGTGGGGCGGCATCGTCGTTACGGCCAATACACCAGTACCACCAATACCATATAGAAAAGAAGGCCTGGCTTCTACTAACAATGACGTCCTCATGCGTGGGCCTTGTCCTCTAGGTATTATTGCTACGGCACGCGTGCAACTTCTCGCGGAAGCCTCCGGCTAGGCTTCTTCTACAAAACCGTTCCCGCTACCTCCTTCCGATAAGAAAAGGGACAGCTTCGAACGGGTCTCTCGCACGCGCGTCCGATCGCGGGCCGATTGGACGGAAGGAGAGCCTTGACAGAACGCGCGCGGGGCTCGATTACGTGACCTGTTTTCTCGCCCTCGCGCGCCGCCGTTGTTTATGCCCGCCGGTCTCCGCCAAAGCCCGGGGAAAGTGCGTAGCCGCCGCTCGGATCGGAGGACTACGTAGGCCCCCGGTTCGACCTTGTTGGCGGCGCCGAGACAGCGAGACCGCCTGGCAGATGCAGTCGCGCTCGGACACGTCTCCAAAGGGTGCGCGCTGGTTGCTACTGCGCCAAGAGCGAACGCCGGCGTCGCCGGGGTCCGACAACTTGAGATGATCGGTGCACGCGGGGACAAGTGCATTCGGATCAAGACGCATCCGTCGCACTCGATCATCGACAGTGTGCACGAGTGGGAGCGAGACGGCTTGTTTCCGGTGCTCCGCAAGGACCGGCGTGCGCAGGACGACGTCCCCGTCTCGCCGTCGAGGAGTAGCGGCGGCGCCGGCGAAGGCGATGGGACGAAGACGTCGCCGAGCGCTCAGGTACCGGAGCCGTTCAATTCGCGCTTCGTCGGGTGTTATGCGACGGAGAGGTTGAACCAGAACGGTATCTCTCGATGTGGTTGCGGATGGATATTAGTGAACGGGGTTGGCGCGATTGAGGCCTTCCAATCGCATCAATCCCTTTAAAAAACCATCGACTTGAGGGCCTTCTAACAGACAGTTTAGATGTTCAGTTCTTCGTGGTTGATGTTCACGTTGCCCAGAGGGCGCCGGGCGCGGTATTGCGGAGAAAGGGACGAATGCAGGCAGTCTAGTTTAGTCGCTGTCTGAATCCAATCCGGGGAACTCGATGTCGCCTGCCCACTGGCAACATCGAGTTCTGAGATAATAGGGAGGTTGTGAAGTTGTGAATTCCATACCTTCGACACTACGTGAGATGTCTTCGGTGCTCTTGCCCATCATTTAGCATATACTAGGTAATAAGCGGGAAATCACGTTCGATAGCAGATACACCGTAAACTTTAGACAAAGTAGTAAACGAACGCAAATAAGCACACTTATGCTTTCTAATTTGTTCCTGAAGACAACTTTCTACCTATGGTTTATTACACTGATGTCCGTGCATCGGCCTGCCTGCATTTAACCCCTTCGGAAATCATTTGTTTACCCCGCACACTTGCGCTCTCTCACTGTCACCTTCCCCCTCTTCGTTTTCTACATATATACTTATGAACTACGACTAAAGGTTAATTCAGACTGCGTTCACTGCGCTACGCTGCGTTCCGTTGCGATGCGTTTCGTTAGGGCACATTGGGTAGCCCTCTGTTTCTATGGTGACGCGCACTAGTAGCCTCTCGTTGTAAGCACTCGTAAGCGTTCGCACTCAAAACGCAGATGACTGAAGCCCGGATCAAAACGCAAAACAACTGCGAATCATGAGCGCCAGTACTCTTCTAGATCTGCATACAGAAGAACAATTAGATGCCCAAACAGGATTCCTAGGCAATCAAGACGTCGGTCCTTTGTTGTTGCCGACGAGGCCACCCTTGGTCTACCTGGTTTCATAATAAGGCTCGTCTACGCAGCGTGCACCGGCGTACGTTTGGCTACGAAGGGCATACACATTGTGTTTGGTTAATGAAAACAGTTTGACTTTTGTTGCATCTCCGTTCCTTCCCGCGGGCTCTATCAGTTGTTTCACTCCTCTTACTCGCTTCCCGTCCCATGAAATGCGCTCAAATAATAGTTCACTATTTATGCTTGAAGGATTGTCTCGTATACTAAGCTTCGACATATAGTCTGTTTCTTGACCACATTATAACCACGAAAAAGAACTGTTTTGGAGCTTTTTATTTTATTGGTAAATCGTGTGCTGCTTGTAGCAGAGATGAAACCACTTGCTATATGCCAATTTTTTGCGTTTGCATTTACTTTACTCCTGGTATGACTTGTCTAATTGGCGACGTGGGCGATCGAAAGCGTTGCTGTGGTCGGCCTTTCACGATTGGCCGAATGCCGACTATGACGTCGGCAAAGGATTTCTCATCGACGGAAATAAGAGTAATGGAAGAACTTTAATTTTGACGGTATTGGCTGCGTTGGTTTCAGAGCACTATGATTTCGAGCTTCCACCATGCTCATTACAAACACCATCGAACTTGTTGGTCGATAGGTAATGACGTCATGAGAGGTAACCATACGAGGGCGCCAACAAAACATCTCGCCGCTAAATATCATGTGACCGGCATGCTCCATGTAGTTCATCCTACCATACACTGCTACCTTCGTACTAAATATGATCATGTCTCGTTTAGCGTAGTACTTCCCTATTGCTTTTTCCCACCGTTTTGTGATAATGACGATAGCCATTTTCATTCATTCATTCTCTAGCTGAACAAGGCGGTAGCATTCTATTTTAGCATTTCTCGGTTTCCTGTCAATTTGTCGGCGGTTAAAATGAATTTTCTTGGCATGTGCTGGTCTGGCGACAATAAAGCAAAAAAACAGCGTCATCAAAATCGCAGCCGGTTATAATGTTTTCGTGTTGGAATGAGATAAGGAGGCAAACACCCACTTTTAGAGTTTTATTCTGGCCTTGGAGAGACCTCGGTACTCGCGCGCTAATTATTATGCTGGTCACACGTGATACCTTCATTCGTTTTTTTTTTTTTTTACTTCCATTAAATGTTGGAATTCTTTTGAGCTTCCCGCTTAATTAACATAATATTTGACGGCACTCGCTTTATAAAGTTTCATCCGAGAAATCATTGATGAAGGTAGCGTGAAATTAAATTGTTATATTGTGTATGAATTTTATAAATCGCTTTAGTTGTAGTCGGGTGGTGCTGATGGCAGCTCCCCCTCTCCCCCGCAGGGTCAGCCTATATATAGGCGTGGCCCCCTAGTGGCAGATCCCCCTAGAACCCAGGGTTAAGTGAGGTGGAGGCGAGAGAGATCGTCGGCGGGGTTGAGGTCCGTCGGAACCTAGGCGACCCAGCTCCTGTTATTGACCAAAAGTGCAGTGATAGCCAAGACCTCGTAGGGTGACAGAGTTCGTCCGTGGCCTCTTGTGATGGCGTGAACCACCGCTTCGTTATCCGAGAAGATGAGGGTCTAGGCTGGTGCGAGAAGGATGGCGATGAGTACCGCCCGAAATTCTCCGAGGTAGATTCCTGGGGGTGATGGCGAAACAATAGCGAGGTTGCCGGGGGGTAGACAGATGCCGATGCCGGACGAACTTGCGTCGGCATACGCCTCTCCCGACGTGGGCGGAATGTTCCATGGCACTTCCGTAGAGAGGCGGTAAAAGACTTGTTTAAAAAGAAGAAGCCAGTCCTGCGAAGGTGGTTGGCCTGTAGAGGCGGCGACATGCAGTGGTCGCAGTGCATGGTAATGCCCTTTAAAGAGGCTAAAATAAAATGTCCAGAGTCCAGCCACACGCTGGTAGGTCTTGAGTGACAGGGGTTGCTCAAGGACTTGCAGGGTGGCGGCAAGGCCAAGGCGTCTCTGGGAGGTGTGGCCGATGGCCTGGCGGTCGGCAAAAAGTTGGAAGCCAAAGAACTTGATGGTGCGAACTGGCCGGAGTAAAGAATCACGGTGGTTCAGACGGATGCCGACTTCAAAAAGTTGGTCACAGAAGACTCGTGTTTGTTGTTCGAGGAACTCGGGGTCCAGGTGAGCAAACAAAAAATTATCCAGATCTGCCCAACACCATAATCCCCTGGCCTAGGGAGCCTTCATGCGCACATGAAGGCACTCTACCCTGGCCCGTGCTTCCCGTGCTAGTGCTATTGCCAAAGACTGCATAAAGAACGGGGCAGGCCTTATACCAAAGGGGAGGACCTTGTAGCGGTAATATTGGCCGTTGAGCCGAAAGGTGGTGAGGTGTCTTGTCGCGGGTGCAAGACCGAAATGGTAGAAGGCATCTTGTAAATCCGCTTTGGTGAAGAACGGGTCCTTAGGAAGAGGAGCCATCTCCAAAGCCGCGGGCAAAGCCGGTAGTCGAAACTTAGGGCTAGGCAAAGTTGAGGTGAGATGGCTACAGTCAAGCACAAACCGCGAAAATTCCGCAGATTTTGGCACAATCTGTATAGGGTTCAAAAAGGGACCGCGATGAGTTCTTTCAATGATCTCTAACGCCAGCATAAACTGCACTGCCTCGCGGAGGACACCGGGCGGGCGGGCGGGCGGGCGGGCGGGCGTTGGAAACGGACGTCGCCGTAGAAAAAAAAGTTCAGTTCCGCGGGGTTAAATGGTGGGTGAAGCCGAAATTTCGAATTTAGGTCTCATATTGGCCTCAGATTGTGTGCTGCTTGAAAGTGGTGAAACAAACTGATAAAGCTTGGCAACAAACGTGTTGTCTTAAGTTGTTTTATCGATTCCCATATGCTTGGTGCTTTGCCGTTTCATTCATTAATAACAGCGTCGTAACTGAATAATGTTGGGGTTAAATCTCCAAATACAGCGAAAAATAACTTCTAATCTAGATTTTGTGTGTGTGTGTGTGCTTCTAAGCGCACGTTATACGAACTACGTTGAATTGTTGATACTATTACTCAGATAGCTCTTCCTGATATTCAATATTTGAGACATAGAAATCGAGAGATAGCATTGCAGGTACGCTTCTTTGGCACCGTTTAGCCTCGCGACAAAGATTCGTTGTGTTTGGAAGGGGAGATAAATCCTTCTTCCGATGAAGTGTATAAACAGAAACGAATCACTTATGACTTCAGACTTTTGGTCGTGGAACTGCTAATTTCTGGACTATTAGTGCTATAGCAATTACTTAGACCCTAAGAAAGGCCAGCACTTGAGCTTTAAATGCACGTATACGGTTCTACTGTCTATATGCCCGAAATATCTGTATAACTAATTTCTCACTCTCCGGTGTATGTTCTAACTTCCGAGTTCGTTTTGGGCGAAATCCAGAAAGGCGATTCCTGTCTAACATTTCCTAAACATACACAAGACCCACTCTCTTTTTTCCAATTTGTTCATTAAACAATTGGGCGGGACCCCGAAGCCGAACCTCTGCCGACGCAGTCACTGAACCCGAATCCTAGCCGAATCCTAGCCAATTCAATCCTGAATTCAGTCGTCCTATGAGCGCATTAAGATTTGAATTTTAAACGATATAGGGGGGGGGGAATAGTGTCTAAATATTGAGTACCGTGTTCAAGGTCAGGAATATGCGTTATCGAACGCAGTAACTCCTAAAACCGCAGTATTACGTTCCTGCGCTCTGTTTTGTTGTATATTTTATTTTTATTTCATTGTAGTTTATTGTAAGAAGTAGGCGGGTTACATAATCAGATTACATAATCAGATAGATGTACAATAAAATATAACTGGTTATTTGACGCAACCTCTTACTGTTTAGGTCCGTACGGTCTTTATATTTGATTGTAATAAAAGAACTACACGTGAGTAGAAAAGGCCATGCTAAACTCGGGCGGACTTATGGGTCAGGCATGGGGAAGGGGGGGGGGCGAGATTTGACGTTATGGACGTATATGACGTCGCGGGCGATGTAGTATACT